TTTAATTCATTTTTGATGTGTCCTACAGAGCACAGGGCGTTTAAAGCTGAAGGACAGGCTGGCGATACGTGTGTGACGTCTTGTTCCTCTTTTACACCTTAAATTATTGTATCTTAAATCTCAGTACAATGCATTCATTTTCGCTGAACAGTTCAGTAAAAACAATTAATATTTTTTTAAAAGACTTAAAAGCAGAGATTGTGAATGCACACATTTATTTTTGGGCCTTTATTTTCAACAAATGAATTTAACAATAGTCTTTATTTTATGATTTTGTCTCTTTAAAGGCCATGCATAACCATCAAAATACTCCAGCGAGTGAAGATTTGTTTTTTAATATTAGTTTCTTGTTTAATACCGGCTTCATTTTTAATACAGCAATGTCAGTGTTAATGGTTCCCCCTTTTTGCCTTTGTGTTTCTGGCAGTTCATTCTGCTCCAACCTTGGCCTTGTTAACAAAACCTGAGGTGGTTTTCATTTCTCTGCGTCTCTCTGAGTCGTGCTCTGTCAGAGAGGGCAGGAGGGGATATTGTCCTCTTGCCCAGCCTGGCGAACAAAGGTCGCCGTTTTCTGAAAGACAGAGCATGGCATGAAGAGATAAGATGAGCTCTATCGCCGGAATTATTGCACAGTGGACAATTAAAGACTTAATGGCTGAGGCCTCAGAAAAGGAAAAAAAAAAAAAAAAACTTCAACCATTTGTTTTGCCCTGAAGAACTCTGAGCAAACGGGAGAAACCCTCTTTAATAAGTGGAGGGAACGTGGGTTTTAAAACAAAAATTAAAATAAATGACACATTAAATGATAGGGTGCCACGCAGACCCACTTCTTTGCCAACATCATAAAAGATCTTGCCTTAACTGCAAACTGTGCACAGACCTCAAAGTCAGTCCTTGTGTGTTAAATTTTGTATTTGGTCCAATTTATGATCATAATCATATTGGCTGTGGACTTAGTAAGAGATTTTGTAAGGGGGGGATTTTTTTTTTTTGAAGGATTACATATTTCATACAAATAGTATTTGCTTAATGATATGGATTAATTTGTGGTCTCATAATAGGTTCTGGTTTTCATCCTCTTTTTATTATATAAAGAGTTCATGTGCATTAGGTCACTGAAAAAATAGTCCAGGGATGGAACAACAAAATAAATTGTGTTACTGGTTTGGATTTCCCTGATAGTCATCTTGGTTATTTTCATTTTGCCTGTCGGTATTGCATGATGTTATTACAGGAAGTGGCAGTTTTATTTGGCACATTACGCCATATTTCTTTGTCTGCGGCCCATTCATCAAAAAGTCGATTCTCTCAGTCTTTTCAAATAAGTGACAAACACACCTCCGTCAAAAAAACCCAAAAAAACATCCTCTTTAATTCCATCTCCTCGTTTTCATTTTGCCCGTATTTCCTTTCTTGTCCCTGCCATCTTCTCTAATTCCCACATTTTTCACGTGTCCAGCATGGCTGTGTTAGGCAGGCGTATGCTAGCATGAACAATCGCCGCTCGGCCCGGCTCGGCCTGGTCCAGATGGGATCTGCCCCCCCCTCCCCCCTAGCATTAGCAGTGATGAGCCATTCAGGCAGCCAGATAGTCAGCTAGCTACACTACCAGATAGCCAACCAGTCATTCACAAAGCCAGTCATGTAGCCTTTCAGCCAACCTAACAGCCAGCCTGCCAGTCAGTCAGTGGAGCAGCCAGTCATCCAGGCTGCAGCTCCTCTGTTAGACGCTGACAGAGGGAGCAGGCCAGGCTAAATCTGACGTCCTGGGAGCCAACCAGAGGACTCTGGCCTTTGTAGGGCGTTCACACAGACAGCCTGTCCCATTGCACAGCAGGGGGCTTCAACCCACAATCAAATGGCCGGGCCCTCAACTTTGTCACATGACAAGTTAGCTTTTTGTTGCTGCCCGCTGCGGAAATTCCAGTTTTAATAATTTCTGTATAATTCCTGTGAGTCCCCGTGGACTAATTCATGTGCTGTGGATTCCATAAAATTGCAAATTCATTCTTTATTTTTTGTAATTTGGAGGTAAGACCCTTTAATAAGCTGTTAATGATAAGAACGGTCGATACGTATTTCATACAGTTGATCATTTGTGTGAGCCTTTGTCTTTCAAGTATTTCTCCCATGGTGCAGTGGGCACAGCTTGTCCCTCTGAGGTCATGTGGGTCAGCCAATGAGGATGAGACATTGTGCTTGCCATGGCAGCTATACAGCCCTGTGCTCCCTCACTTTCTGCTGCTCAATCCCAATCATGGGTCATTGTGTACTTCATAATGCTGAAAATATGGGCAATTAACAGGCTGCAATAGGAAAGAATAATTGTTTTGCGCCGTTCCAAAAACTTTGGAATATGAAAGCATTAGACTAAATAACTTTATAAATAACTGCAAAGCAGTATAGAATATATTTTAAAAATATATCTGCTCTCTTTGGTAAACAGCTTAACATGTGAATGAAGATGTCCATTACAGCATTTTCTGTCATCACTGTCAGCTGATTCCAAAGTCACCCACAAATGGGATTTCTCTCTAATTTGATTACAGAAACTTTTAATACGTTTCTGTTTCTATGCTGTCGGGGCTTTTAAAGTGGACTAACAGAAAAAAAAATTCTTAGAGAGAAGGGGCCAGTTTGGATGTCAGAGTGCATTTTAAAACAGGAGAGCATGTTTTTGGATGGTATTTTTTGTTGGGTTTGGGGGGGGTGGTGGTGGTGATGGGGGGGTAACAGGCATTCTCTTCCCCCCTCCTCTCTTTGTTTGTGTGGTAAATCCAGGAGCAGCTGCTGGTCTCAGGGTCTAGTGGGATTTTGGGCCTGTGTTTTCTCATGCCATCCCATGCCAAGGTGGTGTAATGCGAGTGGAGAGAGACAGGGAGAGAGAGAGAGAGAGAGCGAGGGGTGTTTCTAGAGGGGGGATGGTGTGTGTTTGGGGGGGCCTTTGGAGAGGGAGTTGGTTTGTTGGGACGGCTGTGACCATGCTGGTGACGAAGGCGCGGGTGGGGCGGGTGGGGGGATTGAAGGAGGGTTTTAGAAGACGGGTGCTGTCTGGATTGGATGCATGTAAAATTAATATCCTCTGGACTTTGCCTTTGCACTAGATTGGAACTTGTCTATTTGGCTAATGACGTGCCTTCTGCCTGCACCACACACAGTCCCCGTCTCTCCCCCTCCCTCTCTCTCTCTCTCTCTCTAGCCCTCTCTCTCTCTCTCTCTCACTCACTCACTCTCCCTCTCTCCACTACCAGCCACCAACCATCCACCCCCCACATCTTTGCTTCTCCCTCTGCCATCTCTCTCTTCCCTCCCTTTCAGCGCTGGGAGCGTGCGTATTGGCTGGGCTGTTTGAGACTCGGTGCCAAATAGGTGGGCCCTCTGCATGTTGGCACAGACTCAGTCAATGGTTAGAGAAGGAAAGTGGAGAGGAAGAGAGAAACAGAGACAGAGTTGGAGAGAAAGAGGGGGAAAAAAGAAGCTGCACTCGGGTTTGCCAGCGGTCGTGCACACTCTTCCAACATTGATTCGGTCCTCTTGTTTTTTGTTTTTTTTCTTCTTGTCCTCCGTCCGCACCCCCCTTGTCCAGCTCTCTCTCTCCCTCTCCGTGAGTCTTATGCAGATCCTAGAGATCTGAACCAATAGCTTGCGCTGCTTTGCCAAGCATTTTTTTTGTTTTTGTTTTTTCATGAAGATATTTTTTATATATATTTTTGCAAAAAAAAGACAGGCTTGTTTTTAACTTTTTTCACAATTTTATCCTTTTTGCTGCATCCTTTTTTTTTTTTTTTTCTCTGGCCATGTCCTGCTCTTTTTATTTTAGCCTTTAGACTGAGAGATTGTTGAACTTCTTTACACTCTCATTCTGTTGTGCTCTTGAACAGCACCTCTCCTGCAGCTACTGCTACAGTACCTCCTGTGTTCCTGTGCTGGTATTACACTGCGCCCCCTTGGCCTGTCTCCTCTTTCTCAGCTCTTCCCCCCTGCTGCTTTTATTGGACACTTTCTCAGCTTCCCTTTTTGCTTATTTTTTTTTTTTCTGTCAGTCTTTTGTTTTCTAATCACGCAGAATTCCTTCAGAGCTTTTTTGACTCAACAATTCAGTTATTATCCCGGTGGCACATTTTTAGGTTTCTTTGCAATCGGCGGGGTGAATTTATGATGAAAGAGCAAAATGGTAACTACCGTGTTATTTTTGTTTTATTATCATATGTTTTGTGAAAACGTCTGTGACTAGATAATTTCATGTGCCGACCAAGTTGTGTTATTTAGCGAATAATATTTTCTTTAGTAAATTTAATCTGGAATGCAGGTTCTCTGAAACGATTTAAGTACACACATATCATTGCAACATTGTTAGTGTGTTTTAAAAACGCAACACATTTATTTATTTTTCTAATAGGATGTTTGAATTAGTGATTCGCTTTTATACCTTTTTGTCTGATGGCAAAATGTGAGTCTGGCATTAAACATTTTACATTTTTTTATTTATTGAAATATATACTGTTTGGGCAGGTGCATAAATGTTAACACTATAATGACTTAGAGGAAACTCAACCAGTAGATATTTAGTTTTCCTTCTTCATCTCTTAGCTCACAGTCTTTGGGTATTGTTGCGCAGGTTCCTGTAAAGTATGTCCTTCAATGAAACGTATGTGCTTGTGTTAGGTAGAGAGTGTATTGCATCTTTCTCTATCTCTCTCTCTTCCTCTCTCTCTCTCTCTCTCTCCCGCTCTCTCACTCTCTCTCTCTCTCTCTGTCACTTTCTCTCTCTCTCTTTCAGTGCCTCTCGCTCATTCTCTCCCTCCGCTCACACAGAGCAGGCGCTGCCCCTCCATGCTGCGTGCCGGTGCTAACTGCCTCTCTTCTCTCTTCCCTTCCTCACCCCCACTCCCTCTGTCCCCATCCTTTTCTCCCCCATTCTCCCCCTCTCTCTCCACCTCCTGCTTCCCCCCTCCTCCCTCTCCTCCTCCACCCTCCCCCCTTCCTCCTCCCTCATCCAGGATGAATTCCACCCCTTCATCGAGGCCCTGCTGCCCCATGTACGCGCCTTTGCCTACACCTGGTTCAACCTGCAGGCCCGTAAGCGCAAATACTTCAAGAAGCACGAGAAGCGCATGTCCAAGGAGGAAGAGCGCGCAGTGAAGGATGAACTGCTGGGGGAGAAGCCAGAGATCAAGCAGAAGTGGGCCTCGCGCCTGCTGGCCAAGCTTCGCAAGGACATCCGGCCTGAGTTCCGTGAGGACTTTGTGCTCAGCATCACGGGGAAAAAGCCCCCCTGCTGCGTGCTGTCCAACCCGGACCAGAAGGGCAAGATCCGTCGTATCGACTGCCTGCGCCAGGCTGACAAGGTGTGGCGGCTGGACCTGGTAATGGTCATCCTGTTCAAGGGCAGCCCCCTGGAGAGCACAGACGGGGAGCGGCTGGTCAAGTCGCCACAGTGCAGCAACCCTGGCCTGTGTGTCCAGCCGCACCATATCGGAGTGTCTGTCAAGGAGTTGGACCTCTACCTGGCCTACTTCGTCCACACGCCAGGTATGTGACCAATTTCATTCTGGACTCTTACAGGGAGGGATGCCAAGACGTAAACCCTCGTCATACATGCCTGTGCACACATGCATAGAAATGTTCACACATTTGCAGAATTAACATACACACAGAAATCCACTTAACACAGGAATACTTGTTTCTGTCACCATTAATAAATAGAGAGGAATTAATGGAAATAAAAAACATCAAAAGTGTAGAAAGTTTCCGAAAACCAAGGAAATATGTTTTAAACTCAGGAGCAAAATAACATTTACAATTTTCAACAATTACTCTAAGAATATCAAATTTAAAATTGGGAATTCGCAAACTCAAAAATTTTAATATCACAAATTTTAACCTCTAAGAAACAAAATTAAAATCCCTCCTTGATTGTGTTTTTTTTTTATCCATCAGCAAATAGGTTTGCTTTTTTTTGCCTTTTTAGTCTTTTCCATTTCTTCTTCTGTTTCTTAGGGTTTGTTTACATGACAACATAGTATCAACAGTAATAAAAAGAATATGTGAGTGTGTGTCAAGGGCATCTCGCCAATGTGGTTTGGCAAGTACATGTTAATTTTTCTGAGCGAGACATTTGCGGCTTCATATGAGCATGTATTTTGTGTTTTTTATAGGAAAGAATTTGCATGCCTGTGTGCGTGTGAATGTTTTGTATGAGAAGCACACCACTGTTAAATCGTGGGGTTTTTTTGCAATGAGTGAGAGAGGCAGTTTATAAGATTGTACTCAGTCTGTTTAAGTGTATGTGCCACGATAAGGCCATTGTAGCCAGGAATCGTCATTTGGCCATAACCCAGAGTGTGTGTTTGCGTGTGTCTGTTTGTGTGTTTGAGAGAGAGAGAGAGAGAGAGAGCGATTGAAAGCAGAGCCGCGAGTCTCCTGCTCTCAGGCCGCGGGCTGCCGTCGCCTTCACCGTCTGCCTGAACACTAGCACCACGTCGGACCTGGCTGCCAAACACACACTCACACACAAAATGCCAGTGCTCACAGACAGCCAGTACTATTGCAGCCACCTTCACACCCATATACACACATACAAACACAGCTAAATAAAGATACACACATTTGATTAAAAAAAAGAAAGAAAAACAACTCTGTCATCTTTGTAGCGCACTTTCACACATAGAGCCAAACACGGTTTTAGTCACGATTGCGTACACACACCCACACAGCACACACTCTCGTCCAAGGACTATCATAGATACAGTTAGATACAGCCAAACATTGTTGTATCTCAGCCACCATCGTGGATACACACACTCACACTCGGCCAAACATCGCTGTAGCCTCCAGTGCGCGTACTCTACACACACAGCCAAAATGCTGGCTGTGTTGTAGTTTTTCCCCCCCCCCACATTACAAAAAACACTATCGCAGCAACCACTCACACATACACACATGAAACACATTTGACAGCCAAATCCTCCAAATACACACTAGTTCACCGTTTGCTGGCTACGTATACATACAAACACACGCTCATGACCTAATATTATCTCAGCTGGAATTTTAATGGAAATTTCAAACAGTGACTCAACCAGTTTTACACACACACACTAACACGCAACAACACAGGTATATATATTTATATAACACATAAATATACCGCATACCCATGTCAGTGCCTAAATACACACACACCCTTTCCTAGACAAAACTCTTATGGTCACTGCTGTAGCAAAATGCTATCACGGTCTCTCTCTCTCCTCCTCTCTCTCTTTCCCTTGCCCCTCTTGACTTATACTCACACATACACACAGACAGAAAATCTCTGTTCAGGCCAACTACCTCACTCGGCCCGAGCCAAAACCCTGGCAGCAGCTCTAGCCTCATTCTAGTCTGTCTTTGGCGTGAAAAACCATCGGAAGCGGGCAGTCCTTACGCCCGACTGGGAAAAAAGCGTAGTGTTTAAAAAATATGTTATTATTAGCTTCAATAAAATTCTGAATTTTCTCTAACTTTGTCTAAACATTTCTACCAAGACGGTGCTGAAAAATAAAACGACATAATGAAGGTTGAGTCGGGGTGTTACAGGGATTGAGTAACTGTTTATGTTTGCTCTATTTGTTATCAAATATCACACCGTTCTCTCCTTTTTTCCTTTAATTATTCATTTAGACTTTAATGAACTCTAGTGTTACTGTTGTTTGAATTAAGCTCAGGATATTTTTTAGGTTTCAATAAAATATAAATTAAACATCAAATCTAGAGGGTGTTTTTTTAATATATATTTGAAAGGGAGAAATTAAATTGAAAGCTTTTTTTTATTGTTTCTTCATAATTAAGAAAATATATAAGTTTGTGTTGACCTACCAAATATTCAAAACTTATTAGAAGTAATTTCAGAATGTCCTTGCATCATGCAGTATGTAGAAACAAAACCACAGTTCATTTGTTTTGTACTACGATAGTGTTCATGTAGACTTAAAAAAAAAAAGAAAAAAAGATGGTGGCCAATGATCATGTTTGTGTTTTATTCATAAGCAATAGAGCTACAAAATGACAAACTGTATATGACATAATGTTCATATACTACCTTAATCAATGGCTGACCAGATTTCATTTGGTTGCTGCTTCATTACTTTTGTTTACAGCAGTACTGTAAAACCGCTTGAAGAGACTGCCCAGTGTGCTGCCCATTTATAATGCAGACTTAGTCCATGTTCTTTTATCTTATCTGGCTTACACAGTGTGCCTCGGTACTTTTATCTGCTTCCAATGAACCCGTGCTCAGTTAAAGTCCTGGTTGGACGGACACTTTGACAGAGAGAAATGGACAGAGGGAGAGACAAAGGGCAAAGCACTACTGCACATAAGTTCAGCACATTGCACTTCCAAGTTGTAAATTCACATTGTGTGTAAACAGGTATAAATGCTTGCATGTACCTGTCCCCTCTATGTTGTACAGTGTTGTGCGTTTGCGTTTTTTTTTTTGCCGGAGTCGCTCAATGAATAACAAGATGTGCTCATTGTTTGTTTTTATTTGGTTTGTGTTTTGTCGGTCTTTAGCATCTCAGTCTTCCCCGCTCCTCTTTGATCCCGTGCACACTTTTGTTTTGTCTCCTTAAACATCGCCCTCATTGTTGCTCTCACAGAGGTAAAGCCTCTGCTGATCTCTTTTGTTTATATTGTAGGAGACACAGGGAGAGAGAGAGAGGCAGAGAGAGCACGTTGGAAAGGAAAAGAGGCTGCGATAGTGATTGTTCTGTTTGGCAGCTCCCGAGCCCCGTTGGTGTGGGAAGAAGAGAAAGACGTCTTGTGTTTTGTTTATGACAGAGTGGCAAAAGCTGCCACGGGGAATCTCTGGGCTTGCCGTCAGGCTTTCTCAGGCTGTTCCGCAGCCAGCCAGCCTTTGAGATCCTCTCTATTACGGAGCATAACACGCTGCAGCCGTAAAAGAACAAACCCTGCTGCCACAATACACAACCTCCTAACCTGATTTTCAGGCACCTCAGATAAAAAGCAACTTAAAAGCTAGATCAGTGTGTCTTTAAAGATCATACTGATATACAGGCAGCGTAAAGAGGGGACTAATAAGTGATTCTTGGGCAGTGCAGTGAGGTTTTTATATTTTTATTATGAGAGAGTGATTAGTGTCATATTGGAGATTATGGCCCTTGGTCCTGAAAGGGCAAAGGTTTAGTCCACACACTAGCAGGACACCTTTGATAACACACTAATGCACTACGTTAGATAAATTAGAATGAATTCACACTATAAGTTTAGATTTTATTCTAAATAATGTTAGCCTGACTAATGCACAGGTGGGTTCACCTGAGGAGAAATCATTGCATCATTGTGCTGCTTACAGGGTCCAGTTAAATATTTGATTTATAACCTCTGAGCTGTTTTAAACTCGGCACAGTTATGATTTGTTCAAGGTTGGAAAAATAGAAATAGAATAAAAATTGTGAGTGATCTCAGCTCACTTAGTCATACATTGGACCCAATTCGTACTGCTTTCTTTTCTTTTTCCTTTTTTTTTTAACTTCACTTGCTTTTGTAAGCCATGAGTGCGATCATGAAAAGATGTTACAAATGTGTTTCCAATCAAAAGTGCAGTACAGGAAATTTGCAGTCACTCTGAGGGAGGTGTGAAATGTGCTCGCCGTGCCATTTCTGCCATGACCGCTCCACACTCTGAGGTCTACGGTGCCAGATCCTGCCTTCCCTCGCTACAGCAAAACAAATGCCTTGGACAGCGCTGTAAGAAACCTTAGCGCTGCGGCTAGCCAGCTCACTGACCACAGGAAGTATTCACAAATCAAAAAACCGGCTCATGTTCATTTCTGAGGTAAACTCCCCCCTACTATTCTGGGTTTACCGGAGAGAAGAGAATATAAATTCAGGAGAAACAAGTGGAGAGAAGAGCGAGTAGGAAGAGATTAAAACTGAGAAGAAGGGAAGCATTGTGACGGTCATGGCTAATATGATGAATTGCTTGCCGTGTGTTAAAAGTGGACAGCATACTTGTATAGACTCCACAGGTTCCCAAAAGCTCTGTGCTTCAGTGTGTCTCTTTTTCCTGTGAAAATAATCTGTTGTTAATTACTTCCTGGATCTCTTCTGCTGCTTCCATAACATCACAAGGGTTAGGTGGACTGTTGTTGTGTGCAAGTGTTTTTGTTTGTCTATGTGTGTGTGTGTGTGTGTGTGTGTGTGTGTGTGTTCACAGCTTAGAACGGCCCTTCAGCAGTGAAGTTTTGATTAAATGAAATCTCGACACTGAGGGAGACGGTCAGGTCTGAGGCGTTTGTATTGTGTGTGGTGGGAACACGGCCCACGTCGGCTAAAAAAAGCTCTCCACATGCAGAGCGGATTTGGCAACAGGAAATATTCGCCAATGCGCTCTTGTTTCGCTGGGCCCGCGTCATCTTTTTCTTGTCTCTCTCTCTCTTTCTATGCGGCATCAGGGGCATGTCGAGGTGGCTACGAATCAAATCTGAAGGGTTAAGATAGAGGGAGAGCCCTGTCATTACAGACACAGAGTGAGAGGGAGTCTTCTCACACTATTCTTGGCTTCAGAAAAAAGTCT